CCAGAAGAATTTCCCGCTGTGTAAAAACGTAGGCTATCTAACAAGCGTGATCGCTCGTCATTATGGATCCTACTCTCAGCACTTGCTGCTTGTCATATTGTCTTCAGTAGTTCTCCTTTCGACACCATTGCATTCAATCCGATATTACATTGTTTTCAGGACGTAATGAAGTTGTTAACGAGAGCAGTGAGGTTCTGTAGAGCAACAGGTTTCCGAAATCAAGTTAGGAAGTAATAATGAGGCAAAGTTGTCGGCAACGTACAAGGTATATTCTGCGAAGTGATTTCGTAGTTTTGATTCTGCAACAGACTACATAAATGTGAGGGCACCTAGAAACCACGAAGTACGACAAATATTCAACCAACTAACACTAATTAAAATAAGGAATTACCGCACATCGGTCTTTAAACTATGGCTGTGCTGATATACATTGTGTTAGTTAATACATGATCTGACAAGATCATGTTTGCGTGTTCACATTAAGTAGTTTTCTAGGAATCGTTGATTTGATTATGTATTGGAGGCTTATACAAACTATGTGTCAATAAAAACTACGAAGAAGAGTACACTATCTTTGATGCTAATTTCTGTTATATGCACTAACTTTATACTGAATGGATGGGAATAAGTGAATTAAGTAGGGACTTGAAGATCACTGTCTTTGAATATATATGTAAGTACTTGGATTAACTAACATGCACGACAGTAATATACGATCAAAGTATAATATCGCTCAGCGGACACAAATAGACTGAGATAGTAGTGGTAAGCGAGTATACAGTGATGTGCATTTAATGTATCTGCGTTAAGCACTACAGGTTCTTTTATATAAACGTTTACTTCTGAACACATTGTCTCAATACACAGAAGCTAGTTTCTACAGTGCATAATGTAATTCTGTGGAATCATGTTATAAGTCATTTTCTCTGGAATTTAACCGTGTCTACTAACCTCCACTTAACAGACGGTCACCAGAATACTGTAGACTGACGTGTATTAACTGGTAATTTGAACCCTATTTTGAGGATTAGAGCGAACGCATTGCTTTACTTGAGACTTTTAACTATCCATTTAGGTAGTGTTATGTAGCTCTCTGTCCAATGAAGTTGTTAATAAACCTAGTTATTGTAAGCGGCAACGATTTGATCAGTAAACAGATAAGTATTATTACGCAGATGTACTGCTACTACTACTACTTAAACTGTTAGTAGGAAGCGTATTTAAACGTTGACCTCGTAATCCACAATTATAGGAAGTCAGGTATCCCAATTATCATTTATATAATTCAGGATGCGTATTAAGAATAACCACGTAATGAGAATATCAATGTGAAGATAGCAAGCATTCTAGAGTTCTGTTATTGGTGCAGCAACCAACTTAATAGATATGTATTTATTCAACTTAATGCTAAGCAGATCCACTTCAGTCATTTTTAAATTCAGAATTGGTGTCCGCAGATATTCCTGCCAGCTAAGTATTTCCTTCAAAGATAACTATCATGAACATGTTGCTAAACATTGTGGCAGCGATAAATGTTAACTGGAACTCCTTGGAATAGAAAATCCATCTACATTAAAAAACAAATCTAAAATATCAAAATCACAGGTACACAGCAAGAGTTCACTATATCTTAGAAGATCGGCTTTCAATCCGAGATGGTAGCACAAGGTATTTTAACAGGTTTTTTTTACAAAACAAAAGTGAAAAAGCTGGAAAAATCTAAAAACATAAGAATGCTGGTTATTGACTAGGTTAATTCTAACAACTTGTTCGTCACAGAGTACATTGCTAGGTAAGATATTACAGAAATTTTTTACTTTTGCTTGCGTGTATGGACGGAAAACTTTCTTCGATAACAGTAAAACATGAGAAGACCGGGGGAGATCATAGGAAAAAGTAACATGAAGATAATTGACCTTCGACACTGTGTTTGTCCAAGAGTCTCCAATAACACGAGCATTATGGGATCCCAAAGTGTTGTTTAGATGCCGTTCATGTCTTATGCTAAAGTTAACAGCATGACATTTAGACAGATTGAGCTTGAGACCATTAACAACGGACCAACAATCAATACGAGACAAAAACTCACTCATTCCTATGGGATCTAAAGAGGTAGAAATCGGCATACATACACTGAGATCATACTTATACTTCGCAGAAGTGTTTTCTGTAGAAGATAGGAGATCATGCAGAAAGATAGAGAAAAGAAGAGGTGAAAGAACGGCTCCTTGTGGTACACTTTCATGGGACACTAGAAACTTTGAACACTTTCCGCCAAACACAGTGAACTGGTCCCTTCCAGAGAGATAGGAACATAGCCAATTTGTTATCCAGCTGTCAGTGTTGACGCTGATTAACCTGTTAAGTAAACGTTGTCTTGGTATAGAATCAAAAGCACAAGTATAGTCTAGAAAAGCGCATCGAACATACTTCTTACCGTCTTCAAAACTGAATACTATATTGTGATGCAGAACAGCAACGGCATCTAAGGTGCTTCTTCTGCATCTGTAAGCAATCTGATATGGATCAATGTGCTCTTTTATCGCAGGTTGAAGTGGAAGTATCAATAATTTCTCCATTGTTTTGAGGAAAAGTGAATTTATTGCTATTGGTCTAGGTTTCACATTTTTATCACCAGATACTTTCTTAGGTATAGGGATTATCTTTATCTTTCTCCACATTTTCGGTATGAGATTAGTTGAGAAGGATCTGTTAAAGATACTCGTGAATGGATAACATAGAACGTCAGCATGTTTTTTTTATAAAAGAGGTTTGGGATACCATCAGGTCATAAACATTGGGATGAATTTAGTGACTGGAGACATCTTCGGACATCAGTTTCAGTGAAACTAGGAACACAACTATTCTTCAAACCTGTGGATTTAGGGAGCATTGCATCCGATGACTGACGTACAAAAAACTTATTTGAGTCACAAACATTCAGCAGGTCACCGCTTCTAACGTGCCTGTCACCTGTTAGCTTTTTAAAGCGTTTCCATATACTTGACTTAATAGGAATTTAGAAGAACCAACCT